GTTGACTGGCTTATCTGACTGTTTTGTTTTGCTTAAAGCGCCTTAAAGTCCAGTGCGCCTTGTATGTGGAAAAAGTTTGAAAATAGACCACTGATTGACGGTGCGCCTTATAATGCAGTGCGCGTTATAGTGCGGAAAATACGGTAGTCTGAAATAGACAAATACAATTTGCTTCAAGTTACATATTGCAAAATACATTTTAAAAAGGGAGCTAGACATATTTACTGAATTAAAACCCCTATGGGTACTATAAATGCAAGTCTGCCAATGAGCCTGACCTTTTGCATGTACTGGGCTATAAGCTTCCACAGCATCATTTTACGGTTACTAACAAAAGAAAGGGGAGAGGGGTTGAAACCATGACCTAAATTCCAAGTATTCTCAGCAACCTAAAGATGAATATAATCCAACCACCCAGTCCTATTTATGTTTACCATTATACATGTAATTTGGTATTTAGCCATACAAGTAGTTATTCAAATCTGTAAAAGCCCTTACTGAAAGCGGGTGGAAGGATAGACGCATGGTTAGAATACATTATTAATATGAAATATTATACAATATAATGTAAATTTTAGACTAGGAACATAAGGTGATATAGCAATATGGCTTTTGTGTTAAATTTATACTTACCAACAAAATAACCCACAGCTGATTTGGGTATGTTTCCATTCATTGAAGTCAATATTTTTATTTTTGCATTTCTACTCTAATTGATACTTATGGTCACTGCTACCAGAATTCATATGAATTTATTCAGAATGACACTGTTGTGAATTTCCCTAAATTTCCTTGCATTCATTTTCGTTGGCAGAGACCTGATAAATAGTATTCCATGTTGCTTTTAACACTGATGAATGAAATCTTAGTTAAGAGTTCCTTTCCATTCTGCTATTGACTATTCAACTACTTTTATCATTACAAGTATTACTCTTACAAAGCAGATCAACTGTAGTTCTCTAGAACTTTCCCAGAAGGTCCTTTGGCTTTAGGGTACCTCCATAAACATTGGAAAAGGGGGAAAAAAGAGGCAGTCAGGTCATACCATCATAAAACACATCACACATACATGTAGTACACATGAATTCCTTGTCTAATACTATTATTGTTAGAAATCTATGTGTAAAGACGGAATAGTAACCACAAAGCACTTGATTCAGCACAAATGTAGCATACCTGTGAGAACAGTATGATTTAGGTACACATCACATACGCTTTATACTGAATCCACTTCTACATATGAAATGGATCCGCAGCACTGTATTGAATTGGAAAAAGAATCGTGGTAACTGTGGAATGACAAATTAGGTAAAGCTACTAATCCATCCTATTAAACTCTGCTCTTGAAATATCTAGACGTTATGTTCAATGTCACAGGCTTCACAGCTCCAACAAGAAGTGTTGTAACAAGCAGTTTTAGTAATGATTATAATATGTAGGCCTCTGCAAAAATTAAAACTGTGGGGTAACAATGAGTACTTCACATTTCAAGGGGGTCTTATCGCCAAAGACAAATAACCAAAACTTCTAGTTTCTTCACAGATGTGTAAGGTACCTGCAAAATGTGGTGTACATTTTAAGTAAGGAGCTCATATTTACTGATCAAATTGGCACTTTGGTTTTTAATTCAAATGAAAACAGGCACTAAAATACTCTCCTCACACTGCGTGAACACCTGTACTGAGTCATACCTTCAACTTTTACCTATAATTAAAATATTTAAAAAAGTGTTCAACCAATTAGAATATGGAACCATCATGCAACATCTATGATAAGATTAAGATAAAGGAAAAAATAAGAATTAAAATTCCCTTATTTATAAATATCTTAATTTGTGTAAGATAAATGCAATATTATTTTTAATGGCTCTATGGTAAGAGAAAACACAGAGGGTGGAGAAATACAAAGTAATCTATACAGGGTCCCTGAATATTCACCCAGAAGAACTTGGCATGGACTCCATTTCACACAGTTGTAAAATATATTATGACATAAATGCTGCTACTCTGGGTAAACGGGAAACCTCAGATTACATTAATATAAAAACTAAGATCTATAATGAAATTCTCAAACATTTTGAACACTTCAGTGTTATCACTATGCAATGCCTATTTCTGGTGCACCAAATTTAGCACCCACAATGCAATTACAATCAGCAATTAAAATGTTTAAGGGAAAAGAAAAATGACAATGTGCAACTACAAACAGCACAATGATGTTAAGTGCAAACAGTAAGGGCCAGTTACCAGTCCTTCAGTAGATGTTGGCTCTGTACTGCACAGGAGCTATGCAGAAAGCAAAAAACCTGGCGACTAGTGGACAAAATTCAAAATCCCTTGCTTAGTGTTTTAAGTAGAGGCAAAAAGAGCCAGAAAGCTGAGGGAAATCTGAATTTCCTGCTGCACTGCAAAGCACATCGTAACCACTGCAATTGCTAAATTTCATTTAGTTTTGCATTTAAACAGTATTGTAATGACAACACTGACCTGAGCAGCATTTTGAAAAGTTTGATCATGTGTAGAATTAGGCAAACATCATTTCCAAAGAGGCAGGAAATGTAATGCACAAAGCAGGCTTACACTTAGACAGAAACTGGTTATGACTTAAGGCCCAAATGTTGCCTGCGGAACAGCACAAATTTTACAAGCAGACTTTCTGCAGAATATATTAATTAGCACCAGAAGGATAGTAAATACCACTAGTGCAGAATAAAAACCTATGTATCCACACACCAAGTTAGTGTTCAGGAGTAATGGACACTTATAGACCACTGAAGTGAACAAAGGACAATGAAGAGAGAAAGATGTGTTCTCACCAGACAACTAAAGTAAGCCACTGTCACTAACAGCTAGTAAGCTGCCAGTTGGCCAGTTTACGCGATAAAGTAATATAGCCACTGTACGAGAAATTCATTTTCTGGTTGTAAAAGATTCTTAGTTTAACTATGAAAGGGTAACTTTAGTTACAGGCCTGAGGGGACATTTTGACTCTATATTCAAGGCCTCCCAACTCTACCAGGACAAAAATCTCAATAGAAGAAACAATACCGTGTTTGGTGTTCAGTGTGGAGGCCCCAACAACTTCGCCAGATTCAGGAGGCGACATTAGAAGTCGCAACAGCGGGCCTCTAAGGAGTTGGTGGTAACGCGATTAAGGCACACTGGTGCCTCAGGAGAGATGGATTACTCACACTGTCCATATAGCTGGGCTTGAACCCATCTGGTTGCCGTCTCAGTTCCTCTTGTCCCCGGTGGCGCATCATCTCCTCTTCACGACGACGTCTCTCTTCTTCATGTCTGAGCAGGAAAGACAAGTATTATTCACTTTTTTTTTTTTATTTATTAAAACGAGGGGGTCCAAAAACAGAATGACAATCCAAAACATTCCTCAGGACCACAGACCAAGTGAAACTTTCCTTCAGTTGCTCTGGAACTTCTCCTCTTTGGTTTTTCAGTTAAGAAAATCCATACATAGATTAAATAGGTTAGATTAGTAAAACAATCCATTTTTTTTACTAGTTTAAATTCACTGAACTTTCCATTTCCACAAAAGCCTCAACTTGTATTGGCCCAGTGTACCTCATCTCAATCTGCTTGCGTTTCTGCAGCTCTTGGTTTCTCAGCTCCTCCAGGCGTCTCAGCTCCTCTTGTCGCCGCATCAGATCTGAATCAGATTTGAAAGAGCATTAGACTCATATTTATGGTGTTTTCCAGTAAGGAGACTGCTTTCAGCATTTCTGCTCCTCTGCACAGTTATGTACCAATTAACTGACACGCTCCTCTGACTGGCACTCCCAAATACTCCACTTTTAACCATTTTAAATGGAATATTGTTGATAAATTATGCAACCCTTGCCACTGGAAAAGAGGAACTCACAGGCACCAGGGCAACTGTAAAAACACTAACACAGAGTCAAACCAACTGGTTCCCAATATGACAAGTGAGTGATCAAATAACTGTTAGCTTTGGACAAGGGCTTCTGTAGGAAAAGCACCAGTTCACTGCACAGTAATGAGACCAGTTGCCCTTATCCACATTCACCTGTGTAGCATCACACGTTACTCACCTTGCCTCATCATCATGAGCTGGTGCTCGTGACGTGCAGCCTCCATCTCTGCCTCCAGCTTCTCCTTTGCCTCACGAATGTTTCGATCCACCTGCTCACGCTGCTGCTTCTCCATCTCATCCAAAGCCTTCCAGCGAGATGAGTACTCAAACTCAAAGGTTCCTGGCTGGGCAAAACGAGGTGGCTGTTCCCTCTCCCTGAAACAATGAATGAAGGAATGACGAAATCTCACAGAGGAAGCAAAAGCACAGTCTGAAACCCGTGAATAGCAGGCAGTGACACATCAAACACAACCTAGACAAACTTTACAACCACAGACAAGAGGTAACTCAACTGAAAGACAACTTTCAAAAACCCCACTCCAAAAAAAATACAAATTAATGCAAGAGCACATACTTGTAATACTGCGCAGTTTTTTGTAGAAGTTTCTCAGGAAGTCCATCTTCATCTTCAAATTGTTCTGCTGGTTCAACAACTGCTGGGCGGGGTGACCTAAAATTAAAATATATATAAATCCATCCACCCCGCATAACCTTGCAAATATACATATTGAAATGATCACACCACTTCAAGTGGACCATATTAACAGCAGTAACTCTGACAGAGTAAAGGTCACTGTGCATCTGAGAAATCTTTGTGAAGAGATACCCACGTTCTAAATGAAATACTTCACACAAAAACACAATAGCTGCACAACACGGACAAATACACAGCAGCATTAATGCTCCACAGTAGAAGGTAACCATTAGAATGGTAATGATCTGCCTTCTGCTTTGAATTACACTGATCACACAGAACGTGCTGAGAAAAAGGGAGGCGGGCACTTTACGAGTGACTCACGTGGTCAGCAGCAAAGCCCCCTCTGCACAGCGGTCAAGTGCCTTGCGGGCAGCTGGCTTTGAGGCGAACTCCACGAAGCCCCTGCCAGTGGGACGGCCACGGTCATCCACCACCACGATGGCTCTCTCAACCGGCCCAAACTGAGAGAAAGCCTGCTCCAGCAGCTCATTGGACACCACTGGGTGGAGGTTCTTCACAGTCAGTGCAGCTCCATGTGTGGCAAACCGTACACGTATAGGCCGATTCCTCAGGACAGTCCCATCCAGTTCAGCTTTTGCAATTTCTGCCAACGTCCTGGTTTCCTGGAAACAAGAGAAAACCTGATTGCTATACTGAACCTTTCTGGTGACACAGTAAAGTGTGGAGTGTCAAAGCTTGCAGAAACATCTAACCAGCTAATCACAAAATTAGTATTTACAACAACACTAAAAACTTCAGCTATATAGGATTTACATTTGCTCGGAACCAAATGACGCTAAACATTGAAGGTTTGTTCCAAAGGTGCTATGCAACCCCAAAGACAACACTGGGTCCCATGAATAACATACAAACTTAGAGCTCAGGCCAGAAATGTAATCCATTTTGCAGTGCTGATAGCACCAGAATAACGACGAAAGTACAAGGTCAGTGCATAAGTAATGAAAGAGCACAAAACCTAGTTTTCTACTTTAAGATCATCACACAACAGAAATGTCAAACAGTATAAAGCACGTAGGAAAGGGGACCATTAATGCCTTGTTCTTTATATGTCTGGGACAAAAATTTGCTCCCATTAAAATTTGAAATTAGAGAGCATTGTATTTCCTTGGAACAACCAATTTTTTATTTATTTTTTTTAAAGCAAACACGTGATAAATGACATATAAAGCTAACATTAATATAATGTTCATGATGACAAGCTTATGCAAGAGCATAGATTTCGGTGTGGATGGTAGGAACATGTCCCTACCAATATGTATTTATTGGTACCAAAGTACCAGATTGCTAAACTATTAGGTGGGACAATCTCCAAACTTTTTCATGTCATCATCCTCATAATAGAAGTAAATGTTTCCTTCTGCTGACAATTATTGTGGGAAATCAAAGATGTACCCCAATAGTTTCCTTTCATTGGTTGTTTGTTTAACTAACTTATTGTCCTCTTTAAATTCACAGAGGAGATCAAGGAAGGAAACTAAAAATAATGAGATTTACCTTCAGGTGCAGGTTTATGACATCCAGTGGTGACTGGGAACATGCAGCCACTCAAGATATGAGTGCACTGATTACCAATATCGTTTGATTTGTTTATTATAAGCACACTCCTTGAGTGTTTCAGATGATTGGTAAAATTTTTGCACATAGGATGGTGTCAATGGTTTTTGTGATAGGACAGTGACAAGCTGGCAACAATCCATTTGGCTAAGGCGTTGTGATTTTGTTACATAAAAGCCCCTGTTTGTTTCTTTTCACAAATTATTCCTTTAGTCTATTTTCTTTAATCCTTGCATTTTGACTGATATTTTTATTGTCCACTATTATAATTAATTTATTTTGAAAACCTATTTTTGAGTAAACAAATGTTTGGTAGATCTATTATCCAGTTATTTTGACTGGAGTTGCAATTCTGGTGTAATGCTAATTAATATTTTTGTGTATTAAATGAATTGATATTTTGAAGCGTGTTTTAGGAGGGCGGGGAGGGGGGGATGTGTACTGATATGGTTCCCACCAATTTTGAAACCAAACCTACGCCATCGAGCTTATAGACATCGATCGCATACTCACAGGCAATTTTCACAATCGGTTCATTAGAAGCAGTATATACGAAGACCCGAGTTCGCATACACATCCACGTGTACAGCATAGACAATCGGTAGACCCAGCGTTTTATAGCTGCATCGCCCTAACGCCTCATTCCGAACAAATCCCAATATTGCCTAAAAAAAACAGCTAGCTGCGATAACAAACGTGACCATTTAAAAACGGGAAGAAACGGGAGTTGTACACTTGTTCACATGGAAATCCTTAACCTACACACGTATATACTCAAAAGACAGGAAGACTACGCAATGTGTGGGTTCAGGGCGATTAGAGATAATTAATTAAACGGAGACCGGTTTAATGCTGAACATCAATACTTAATAACGGACCACGCAGCTACTTAAAATGCAGTGACCCAACAATATTTTCGGGCTAAGGTCGTCCTATTTTCTTAATAGAAGAAACCATTAAAACGATGAGATAGTGGCTTGGACGTTCTGGCAACGTTCGTTTTAATTAAATCTAGACAATACAGGAGACAATAGAAATACATCCGCAGCATTAATTTCCGTGGCACACGGCATTAAAACTAAGCTGGTTTCCCGATAGCAACGTGCACGTTGAAATTGACACCACAGTAGCTGCACATACCGATTAACATGCAAGGTTAGAGATTACTTACAACTCAAGTAGTACAAGCGCGTCCAATTCACGCAAACAATGAGCAGTTACCTCCTCCCAATGTTCAAACGCATAAAACGTAGCGGTGCAAAACTAGGTACTTTGGCTGACCGCCTTGTGCCATAGACGTTATCAAAATGAAGTGTTGCTGAGGACAGGCATCGAAATACTAACCATGTTAAATTACAATCAAAAAGTAACAATATAACAAAAAAATAGTTATACCAGTCGAATAAATCCGAAGCCTCGATCACGGTTGATGAATACTTCGTTAGCTTCGCCATATTTAGCAAACATTTTCTTAAAATCTTCCTCAGTCAAATCTGTGGGAAGGTTGCCCACAAACAACCTGCAGCGTTGGGTGAATGTCTTCTCTCCGGGTCTCCTGAAGCTCTTCAAGTCAAAAGTCATTTCCAGCGGCTCCCCGACGCTGACTTCCAGCCCGGGTTCCGTCGATGGCGTCGCGCTCCTCTCCGCGTTTGGCTCGAGTTCAGGCCCTGCAGGCTCCGAATTAAGCTTCGCGCTTTGCGGTCTCGGAGACGGCGAATTGCTTCCAATGTTACCCGCTTTAAAATTTCGGTTGGCCATGGTTAATGTTGTTTGTTTTAGCAGTCACCGGGTTGCCCTTTAATCAAAGAAATCCTTGCCTCGAAAACACGCGCAACGGCGCAGCACAACGCAGCGTACCCAGGTCGACGAGGCTCCCAGCCACTGTGTCCCTTTTCCAAAATGGCGCAGACGGATTTCTGGCAGCTATGGCTGTAGGTCACGTCATAAGACAACCCCCGTTTTGCCCTCCTTCACGCTTAACGGTTCAATTAATGGATTTAGTTCTCATGATTTTTGCACATATACAACAAAGTAGTTAGATATTTAATTTGATCTTGTGCTGGAGTGACCATCAATATTTATATATTGACCTCTAAGTCCATGTTCTGCTAATAGCCTGTTATTGGATATATATCACAATGATACTTATACAGCACAAAGTACATAATAAAAAATTAGAATTATGATAGCAAGAAAATCGTTAACAACATAGAAATGTGCCTGGAGACGTATTCATTTTAACTGTTTAGCTTACTAGTAGAGAGTTTAATACATTTGGCCGCCACAAGCACCCCGTTAAAGGTGAACCGTTGTAACGCTGTCGGTGACGTAGGTATATTACACGGTTTCACCGTGATTTTTGTAACGGACGGGACTTTAGCATAACGAGGATAGGTTCGGTTCACTATAGACCATTGTTCGAGATAGGCATCCCGGTGGCACATTGTTATATCACCGTTTTGTCGCTAGATGGGGTTACAGAGGGGAATCCGGAAGATATGTATTCTTATTTTATGTGTGTGTATGTGCGCATATATATATATATATATATATATATATATATATATATATATATATATATATATATATATATATATATATATATGCGTGTGTATACACATATGGTGTGTGAAAACTAATGTAAAATCATTTTTTATTTCCTTAGCTTCAGCAGCTCTAAACACAATAAACAGTAAAGTAATGTGTGTAATCATTAAATGTCTATATGATTTGTTATCATTACACGGGGTATATGAAGTAAAATCGTTTCTCAAACATTCTAGGAACGACAAATAAGTTGGTAGTATATAGTAGTTTAGGAACCTTTGCTGTGATGTTCTGTCGCCCTGTTAGATTGGGTTTTTAACCAATCACTTTATAAAAATGGCATAGTTTCAAAGGATGTACAATAAAACCTGCAATGTAATGGGTAAATAAAACATGCAATTCGATAAATTATATAAATATAATGCAGAAAGGACCACTGCGCCCGCCATAATGCTTTGCAAACATGGAGGGAAAATACGCAGGCATTACAGGAGACCGTATGGGGGATACCGCGGCATTGGCTTATGTACATTATCCACCATAACTATGATAATAATTTAATACGAATAAATTAAATCATCTATTGAATTTAAAATCGAATATACCAAAGGATGCACATACGTCTCAAGGGCACCATATCAGTGATACCACGTGTCCTTCAGGATGAAAATACCCTCGGACAAGGTAGGAAACTTAAAGTTGGAGCCACACGCCCCAGAAATTTTAAAAATAACCTACTTTTTTTAAAAGTTCACCATACACCAAAACCGTGATGAATGCTTTCTATAGGAAATATAATTCGGCTCTACCACCAAACTTACAAATCCCTTACTGATACATTGACCGTAATGATTATTTTACGGCATGCTAAATTATAATTTAACAACAAAATAAGTCTCGATATAATCCAAAGAGGATTTGAGTAAGAATTCCATAGATGATCACTTAACGGAAATATATTTCAAGTACTGCCAATTTAATTGGTTATGTTACCGCAATACTTTGATTGAACACAGTACGCTTGCGCAGTGATGAAAGGCGAGAAATGGAAAAGGATCCTGCTAACAGACACCTCCCACGCGCATAGGACGTTTCTACGTTTCGACGCATGCGCTTTAGGATTGATGTCAAGGCACAGAGTGGCGCTATATCGTTTCCAGCTCGACTCGGGTAAGAGATCCAGAGACGTTTTTATTGCAATTTATGGTTAATTGGCCAAAGTTTTAGCAACTACTGATGGTGTGAGTCGGGTGTACATTGAGGCCCGCTAGTCTTCAGTTACGTTGTTAAGTCTAATTTAATGGCGACTTAGCAGTTAATTTTACCCCGCCTGTGATTTTTCTCCCCCTCTCTGCTGTGGCAGGGTGCTGTTGCCTGCTCACTCACGTATTGTTTCGTTCGCTCTCTAATGGCGGACGTTAGGCAGTGCTGCTGACTCGAGGGGGCAAATAATAGCCCCTATTGGAGACAGGAAGTAAGAGGATATGCGCTATGCAACTGATTGAGTGGGGGCAATTAACGTATGTTGAGCTTCTAATCTTAAATTTAAGCCGTTTTAGATCATTGTTAGAAATATAATAACATGAGTGCAACTGATGTAATATTAAGTGTTATAGCGCCCCTTGGGGTCATGCGATGTATTTTTCTGATTGCCCGGGGTACTCGCTGAGGGGTAACTTTCCAATTAAACGGTAACTGGTAGCTTTTCACAGTATACAGAATTATAATAGTAGATTGGTAATAATAATTGGAGATAATATTGCATAAAAATCTTTAACGCAATTTAACCTCATGTCAAACACCTCAGATCTAGTAATGTGACTCCAGGTAGGTTGCTAACACTGACATTTGAATTGGGACATGGCAGAATAAAATGCAAACAAATGGCTTTCTAGGAATTCTCAGCATTCGAACTCTCTTTTTTCTATCGCGATAAGGCGTGCTGTGGAGTTATCACAAAGTACCATCCGTCATATCCCGCAGCGAATGATCACGAATAACTTGTGATTATTTTCCCCCATTGCTAATAACAATGGCGCAGTCTTCAGTTCTCCACCCTCCAGTTCGCCGCTAATCCAATGGCTGCGTGCGCGAAGGAGGCCAGGGGTGGGAACACGTCAAGCCGAAGCTCAAGCACGGTTCACACTGTTAGTGAATAACAACAAGTTCTCGTGCGTTTAGGGAGCGAACTGCTAATGTCAACTCTCACAATCGATTCGCGGTCAAACTTTTGGACGCTTCTAAGTTATAAAAAAAAATTAAATGTTTTTTTTGGCTCGACGCGGTCGGTTGCTCGTTGCCTTGACTCTCGTGGAACTGTGGTCCTCGTGATGGACCGGGGATTCGACTCGTTTGCATAGTCAAGGGCACGGCCTGGGGGAAAGCCTGCATTATGATAAGTATGGTCTGCTTTCTACCTCGATTGTAAATATCCGAATTTGCCGTGATAATTAACCACCCAGTTTTTAAGAAATATTAAGCAATATTTTATGAGCTGGTTACTTGTCTGTTGATGGCAGTTGTTGAATTAATACAAAGGATGCTTTTTTTGCTTGTATAAAAGTGTTATGTATATCATGGCTTCTGCATAGTACTGTTCATTTCCCCCACATACTTCGTATAAAGTCAGTCACAGTAAGTGTTATATAATATAATTGGGTAGGCGTATAGTGAGATGTTAAATTAGATGAGACTTCGCCTATTGAGGTGCCTTTTTAAAATCAGGGTCTGGTCTTGACTTAGCACAGGTATGAAATGTGTGATCGTGTTCTGAACAGGTGAAAGCTCTGCCTATGGAAATAATTTGTCCAACAAGCTTTTACTCTGTTCATAGCAACATCAAAATCTGTTTGAGGCGAACGGAATGTCAAATTTGCAGTGTTTGGCTTTGAGTGTTTCCTCTCCCCCCCGCCAATGGGGGGTCATGTTGTGTCATGCCATTGCTGTATTTTGAATGACGGTCTCCTGTCCTTTAGATGCACATACTGAGTGTGTGGCATCATTTTGTGGGGAGCAGCTGGAACATTACAGTGCTGTGAGAATCTTACATTTACTCTTAATCTTACTGCCTCTCCTCCAGTGGAGTATATGATGTAAAGGCTTGCTAGGCTGCAATGCAGTTTGATGCTTGAAGAGTAAAGCTGACATACCTGAGGGAGTAGCAATGACCAATGACCATGCTGGTTCACAGTGGTGACACAGAAATATTTTATTGAAAATATGAATAATCCCACAGTCAGTAGCCTAATGGTTAGGAATACGCAACCTAAGGAAGTGGATTTTAGCCCAATGGTTGCTTGTTTAGGTTCCAGAAGGGGATCTTCAGTGGCATTCTTGAGAAAGGAGCATAGCCCAAGCTACTCTGGTGAATGGGTAGCTAAATTATGCATGACATTTACTTTGAGCATTTCACAGAGATGTACATTCTTTTCACACACTGGTAAATATCCAACCTGGAGCCTAATGAATGAAGATAAACATTGACTTTTGATGGCTATACCGAAATGAACATTATGGGAGAACAGTAGAACTGGGTAAGGTAAAGCAACTGACTTCTTTTAATCTGATCAGAACCGGTCTCAATTTTAAGATCAAAGTACTGATTAGCCAAAAGTGCATGGACAGGGGCTATTGGTTTTATGTCTGCACAGCTGCAGTGCTGTCCTGCTTGTACCGTTTTCTGCCATGGCTCTGAACTTGCTGCCATTCAGTACTCTTTTTCAGACACTGATGCCCTTGTGTGCTCTCTTCATTTTCTGAATCTGTGTGAGACAACCCAGATGTACATCTGTGTGCTTGGAAAGTACATTTTCGGATTGAAAAAGACAGTTACGTAGTTTTTTTTTTTTTTTTTAACCTATTTGGAGTTTGTTAGATTTTCTTTTTGTGTCAGAATTTATCAATAGGAAGTTTTCATGCTTTACTTGTCTACCAGCATAGGAGCTGATTGATCTTGTTCACGCACTAAAATATCTAAGGGGTCACTTCAGACGATGTGTGAATTCCCATTATATTTTTGCCTGTTTTGGCCATGCTTTGTACAAATGGATGTTAGGCTTGACTGTGGTCTGTCAGAGATTCACAAGACTAGCATTTCAGCATAAGTGGGTATTACTTTGTAATGTATTCATTAGTGACACTTCTTTGCTTCCTATAATATTTTATGTTTTTATTGCTTGCTGTACACTAGAGGGGTGGCAAACCATGACAAATTGACATCAAGCAGATGAACTGGCTAGCCTTTCTACTTGGGGATCTCCACCATCTTAGACTGACTCCCATCTGACATAAGATGCCTTTCTGCTGTCAGCGTTGTTTGCATGTAGGAGCCTGCCATTATGTTGTAAGGCCTTAGATGTTTTATTGATTATTTTTTTTTCTGTTGTAGAGTTAACTGTGTCTTTCCA